CCCCCCACCCCCTAAAACTACGAATTGTTAGCTGTTAAACCACCAGTCCGTCCGAGCCTCTTTTTCTGACGCGAAGTCTTGCCGCGTATCTATTCAGGTATTCCTGCTGAATCATTGGCGAGCTCGATGATGTGCCTGATGACACCAGCCTTTTCTGTCCAGCTGGCCCAGCCCGCGATATTGTGGCAGCTTTTTTTTTTTCTTTTTTTTCCTTTTTTTGAGACGATGCTCCAATCTATTCGTGGAGAGCAACAAGGCTGGGAACCGTTCCCAGCGTCCCTTATCAGAATACAAAAAATGAGCTACCGGAGCCATTACCCGAATCGGCTAAGAACCAAGTCACTAGAATATGTCTTTTTTTTTTCTTCTTCTTCTTCTTTTCTTTTTTAACAAGAACCGCCCGAGTGGATGCTAGGGGCGCTGGTAAGGGCAGACACCTCTAGCAGTCCCGGCCGGGCTCCATCTATTGGTGGGGACCACCACCTGATGGAAAGCAGGTCCAGCGTCCCTGAACATTGTGGCTGTCTGTTTCCTCAGACAGACAGTTGTGATGGTAGACAGCTGCTGGGCACACCTCCGAGTATCTCTAAGTACAGAAAATAGGAAAGTAGTGCTTACTAATTTAGGAAAGTAGTGCTTACCAATTTAGGAATTTGCCTTAGCCGCTTGCCTATCTAACGACCTATATTGAGACTGAGTTGAGTTATCGTGTACTTAGATCACGTGACCGTTGCTCAGGGGATTGAAAGCAGACCACCCCAATCCACTCAGCAAGAGACCCGTCCTGTTCCTGTGTTGGAGTCTCTCGTTGAGACCTTCTGCAGTATCGGACCCATTGGGGCCATGTCATACTGTGGCTGCTGAAACCATTTGCTGTCGCAGCCCCGGCCGTCGTCCATTATCTGTTCTATAGCCAGGGATCTTCCTTCGTATCGTGCTGCCTTCTTGCCAGTATACTTCCTCCTGTCTCATCCGGACCGCTCTCCTTTTGTCAGGAGATTCCATGTCTGCTACTACATGGGGGCAGATCACCTATCGTATTGGCCACACACGACTAAACGACATCTCGAAGTGCTACAGCCTATACGTGATACCGGCGAGATCCAGTCGATGGATTTTTTTAATGGAGTCAGAGGACCCGTAGTCCTGCCTAACTCGAAGGAGACCTGGTACCAGGAAAGCACTGGCTACTTCGCGAGTAGGGAAGGGGTCTCGGTATGTGTGTCAAAGCCTGTGCCTCAGAACAAAGAGCTGGAAAATGCACTCGTGGTTTGACATTTGCAATCCATGCTTTTAACTCCAAAATTCTCCAGAATGAACAAATGAGTTGAAATGACAATCAATGCTGGCGGAACCTCTCACAAAGGACTTTTCTGACAAAAAAAAAAAAAAAAAAAAACTCTAATCATTATTAGTATGCGCAACGTGCATCCCCGGACTGCGAATTCGGGGCTTTTCTTTTGCCAACGTATATTATAAAAAAAAGTTGAAATGAGTCAAATGACATGTTTAAACTTTCAACAAACTGAAAGATGGGTTTGGTTTTCAGGGTCCATGGGCCCTAAAAAGCTATGGGTAATGAATGGGTTACATCTTCAGGGTCCATGACCCCTAGCCATGAAACGTGCTTAAGCTTAAACGTGCTTAAGTGGGCGCTCAACCCCCCCCTCTGCGCTTAAACGTGCTTAAAGCCCTTTCCGCCACGTTCACTCGTCAAAAGAAGAATGTGCGCGCCTTGCGGGGA